AATTTGTGCAGGATTAATTTCATATCGAGTATGAATTATAGCAATTGAGTATCATGTGTTACACGTCATTCGAGACCTTTTGGATTCTTCTGTTATGTGATTTTGTGCATTTTCCTTCTTGGTAAAAAAGAAAGCGATCAAACATCAGTTCTGTGTAATGTTCTATTTGAATAATTTTTAGTTGATCCATAAATCAGAGCAGATATGATTTCGTATCGAGTATGCATTGTCTACCATGTGTCATCCGTTATTTTGATAGGTTTTGCTTTCTTCTATTATGTGATCCGTGTGTTTTCCTCTTGGGCCAAAAACGGTGTAATGAGAGCGTAAAAATCAATATGTGGGTAAAGTTTTCTTTATTAATTATAAACGCAAGCTACGGCACGAACTTATAAGTTCATTCGTTATCATTTTTAATACAGTAAATAATCATCCTCCTCCTTCACCCTCGTCTTCAAAACTGTTGATACAACCGAAGTGAATAAAATATGGTGACACGCATGTGCTCGAGGTGTCCGGTATTCGAAGAAATTTCTGATTAACTCCGTGTACCTTTCCCTGGAGCTGATTTTCCCTGTTCTGGACGTTGGAGGGTTGCCCCAGACGAGCCTCTGAAACCGTGAAACCGGTATAGCAACGCGTCCCGAACTCTGTCCCTGCGGAACAATGGTGTTCTTGTGCCAGCACGCGTTGCGACGAGAAGGAACTTCGGTTAATTGAAAGTGACTGGTTGTTCGGTCGACGCTCTTGGTGTGCGCGTTGCTCGCGGTGTCGGTTGGTGAACCTCGCTGGATGTTTGGTTTAGCATTTCCGGTTTCTTTGCTCGGTTTGGCGTCCAATTCGTGTCCCTTTCGGTGACTCGTGTAATGGAGCCCTGCGTAAATAGAATAGAATATCGTCTCGGGATGAATTTTTCAATGAAAAATTGTAACGTTTCTTATTTTGTTCACTTGCTTGGAGTGATGGGAAAATATGTATCGGGCATAACACTAAAATCACCAAGGTTAACGCATATTTATTATCAGTCTGCGGATGTTTACGCAAATTCATATTCATTATCACAAACCGTACAATGTGTACGTTATTATTTTATATATTTTTGTATTCGTACGCGTTCTTATAGATCTCTCCGTATTTCCATTTGCCATAAATGCATGAACATCCGATTATACGATTTATTAAAACACGCTAGGTTCTCTCGTAAGAAAACTCACATAACACGAGCACGTACACATATGAAAATATATATACAGCTGCTGATTTTGTAACAATAAAAGTTTGTAGAAGTAGACAACGTAAAACACAACGAAGAGATCGAGCTGTAAATATGATTAATCCGGCCACGTGTTCGGACATGTATAATTCGTTTCATTTATTTCGTCGAAACGTGTAATGTAAAATATTTGAAAGCAGTTCAATTCCATCGTGGTTATATGCTACTATGTATGGACTGAAGGCTAGATAACTTTTGAGCAGTGAAACATGAACACTGTAATTTAACGTCTCGTGGTCGATACTTTGTTACCAAATCAGTTCGGGAGACGTTAGCGAGGCGGTCGTTCGAATCCGACGATGGATATCTGAGCGTTGGCAGTGAAGTTGATCCTTATTAGCTAACCGACCATTGTTTCATTTTGAGCATGAAGAAAGCGTCTTGCATACTTTGTATTCGCGTTACAATCTGTGTGCATTAATCGATCGAAAAGTTGAGCTATGCGCAGTCAAACTTAGTTGTAACTTGCAAGGATGTGACGAAATCGTGAACAGGAAACCATAATGACGTTAACTTTTAACGTATTTTTATATAATCGCTTCTTTTTGTAACGAATAGATTGATTTAACTTACGCATTCAGGGAAATATGATGAATGTTGAAGTAAAATTGTTGAATCATTCGTTCCAAAATCCACGAATTAAATAGTAATTGAAATCGCATTTTACATTAATTAACGTGGTTTCTTTATATCAGAGAAAAATAATATCAAATGATGAAGACACGTCCGATACAGCAATTAGCGCTCATATAGACTAAACATTATCGATTACTTCGTTTTTCGTCATAACCAAGTTCGATCGTAATTACTTCATCGATATCCGCTATCTTAAAAATGGTTTTTTTATCGTCTATGATATCTGAAACAGATCCTTAAAACTGCTTCAGTAATAATTATTGGACCAAGTCCTTATTTATCTACAGTTCAATCGTATACTACCAATTCAAAAGAATCTTCTCGTTCCTTCTCGGAACAGCCAACTGAATTTCAGCAAACGAAACCGCAACTACTTTTTGCAATTTTCATCGGAACTCCTCCACCGTGATTTCAGAATCTCAATTGAAGTAACTGTACTTGCTTCCCGGAACATACAATTAGCGTTCTTATTGGCGCGAACTGCCAGCCAACTTTTCACCACTCGCAAGCAGAATATCCTTCTTCCCAGAAGCGTATTCTTTGTTTCTGCACCCCTTCCAATTATTTCCGACGGCTTTCTGGCATTTTGTTTTCTAATGTAACTCGGATGACGCGGAATATATATGACTATTTTGTGTATCTTAAACGAAAGTACACGCGATTACAATTGAACGCGAACGACGTCGTCGCAAGTTTCCGCTTTTGTTATTGAAAAACAAAGCCTCGAAGCCCTTTTGGAAATGTTTTATTTTATTCTTTCGAGACGCAGAGTACCGTAGAGCACTGTCCAAACCGCCTAACGGGGTGGACTCAAACCCAAAGATACCTGGATATGGAAATGAGCTTGATCCTTATTAGCCTCCATTGTCTTCTTCCAAGAACAAAAGTGATCGCGTTGCTCCGTCGACCTGGGTTCCTCGAATAAATTGTATACTCGTGAAACTAGTGACTTTCGACGCAACTTGGGTTCTTCAAAATACGTATACAGTCACAAAGCATTTCCACTGAATAGAAACATACGATCCTTTAATTATTTACAGAATTGTACAAATTGGAATTTTGAAAGAAAGAATTATTCATTTAATTATTCGAAGTAAAAAGATAAAATAGGTATTGAGTATTCGTAGCCTCGGTGACTTTTGGTGCAACTGAAGTTTTTCAACGTATGCATACAAGTTACAGACGAAAGCATTTCCACTGTGTATCGATATAGAATTGAACAAATTAGAATTTTAGAAGAAAGAGTTATTTATTTAATTCTTCGAGACAGATAAAATAGATATTTAATATTCCTAGTCTCTATCGATTAATTCGTGGGTAACTAATTTATTCAAAAAGAATTTCTTCTTCGAAAGATAACATAAAATTCATACGGTAAAGGATTAAAAAGTGTCTTAACCGCTCTTCTTGTGGTCTAGAGATAGTAACAGTAGGCATAACTCTGAACTTAATAATAGTTTTATGTCCAGTCTCGCGTTATTTCTTCGTACGCTTAGATCATGATAATGATAATGAAAAACAAGCTTGTTAACACATGTGGTGCAAGTTGCATAATAAATTTCAAGGATACAGGAAGTATTTTTCCGATTCCGATGTAGTTTGCCTCGGTATATACCCCTTTGCGGTTTAAATTTTCTAATTTCAGTGCAATATTGCCGATATTGCCGGTCCTCTCTCGATATTAGGACCGCAGAGGGTTGAGACACTTCGAACCACAGTTCGTCCCAGTTTCTAAAATCATTCTGTGCACTCTGAATCGTGTGCAGTGTCGGTGCTTTCGTCCAGACTTTGATTGCAGTCTCGTTTACGCTCGTCTCTCGCCTGGGAAAGTAAGGAAATTTATAGGAACCAATGCCGAGGAATTCTCTCGATCGTTCCGATCGTGTACATAGATCGCTCGTTGTGTAATGTGGCTCGTCACACGTTACTCGTGCGAATGATCTATCGCTCGAGAGCAATGACAATATTATTACGGCGCGTCGAGCGGAACGTTCGACAGAGTTCCTTTCGTTCCGTCTCTTTGTCGGCCAGGTGAAATTGATTTACGAGGATGTAGGTTTATTTCGTCGTTACTGAAAATTGACATACGAAGCACACGGGTAACACTCGTTATTCGTCGTTTAACGAGCGAAATCTCGAGTCAGATCGCTCGATGTGTTCCGTAATAAGCGCGAATTTCGACTGATCGTGACCAATAAAAATTCCCCTGATCGCCGCTACAAATGCCGCGGTAAATTGTGTGTGTTTTTTCTTTTCTTTTTTTTTTTTTTTAAATGAAAGTTTGCAATTAGACGTACAGTAATGTTCTGACAAAATTCTAAGATTTTGAGAAAATTCTTTGTAATTAGCCTGGATATATCAGTGATTATTAAAAAAGTAAATAGTATATACATTTGTTCGTGGACAACGAAAACGAGGAATCGATAAAGGACTCGTTAATTATTTTATCGATTCTATATTTCAAGGTTCGTATGGTACATTACGAAATTCTAGTAGATTCCAACAGTAAGCCTCAAGCAGAGTAATTGCTTTCAAAAATAATATAAAAGAAGTATAAATTAAAAAATCAGCCCTATTTCGTTCTCTGATTGCATGCATATAATCCCGGTTGCACTTTCACCCGATAAAATAAAAATATTTCAGAAGCGATACTTTGATTAACTTCGATATAAAATTTGAATTGAATCATCAGAAACTGTTTACTTTCGCAACAAATATATACCGAATAACCCCGATACTTGGAGTACAAAAAAAAAAAAAAAAAACTCTGTAATACAAACATTAAACGTAAAGCAAATAAATAAAGACAGGTCACGCGATCTGATTCTTTCACATTGGAATTTCACAAAGAGCTCACTTGTTTCGAATAAGTGAAAAGTAAACCATAGTTACACCGGGTCAAAAAGAGTACACGCACTTTTGAAAAAAAGAGCACCAGATCGGTAGCCCCAGTTTCCAGACACACCCTGTGTACCCTTCCAAGACGAAACGAGGGCGTTCAATCGGTATTTACGAGCTTCTCGTGCAAACGAAGCTCGATTGTCCCGAAGAATTTCTTTGTGGCACGATAATCGTTTCATTATTATCGAAAGACGGAGAGCGAATATTGAGTCAACAGATGAACAAACGGTAATAATTTCTGACACGAATTCAGGCCGCTGAATCGGTATTTACACGCTTCGCGTGCAACATTAAACGCCCAGAAAGAATTTTGTGACATGGGGGAATGTAATTATTATATCAGGTTGTCCCAAAAGTTTCTCTCGTGTTATTATGTAACTACTATAATTCAACCTTTTATGTTAGTATAAAAATAATTGTACTGAGAATATATGTATGTACAATGTATATGTATATCTGTCAGTGCAGAATAAGAAAAGAGAACTGATACTCTATGTATCGCAAATGTTTAATTATGTCGGAAATATTAAGTTTTAATTGTTCCGATCAATACACGTTAAAATATAGAAAAATATCTCACGATTACTCGTTTAAATTTTGTTCTCAACTTTTCACGTTCAGAAATATTACTTTCTCGAGGAACATTGGTATAATAATCCGAAACTATAAAATGCATCGAATATGTACATCTCCGAATGAATCGAACATTTACAATGCGTATAGTAACATTCAGTCTTCGATTAAATGTTAATAACAATCACGGTTCACGGTATTCATCGAACACGGTAATCGTGAGAAATTTGTCTATATCGTCGTATCTGTTAGCTGGAATAACTAAAAATTAATTTCTGATAATAGTTACAGCTAGAAATTCTTTCTACCTTTTACTTATAACAGTTACTTGTAACATTTACTTATAACATTTACTTCTAACATTTACTTATAACATTTATCTGCTAGTCTTGACCAGCTGCTAATCGCGAACAACTTTTCGATGGGAATGATATTTGTAAACACCTGAGTGCACGTCGCGAAACAAACTATTGAGACAATCGAAGAAAATGTCGAACGCTTGCAAGAGAATGATACGCTGTTGCGCGGGACAGGCGACGAGAAGGCATCGTGAACGGCGCGACGGAACGGTACTTCTTCTTTCTGTAATTTCTTTCTTTTTGTTTTTCTTTCGCCTTGTTTTATTTTTTCTCTCGAAGTAAGTTCGAAAATGTTTCCCGTTCGCGCGCTGCGCTCTGCTCGAACGGAATCGAGAACTCGACAGGAGAAAGTATGTATACAGCGCTGAGCCTTTTACCTTCTGAAATATTCACCGGGCGAAATAAAATAAAAATTGAAATTGACGCGTAATTGCACGTACGTGACGTTGAGGAACGTGCTTCGAGTTGCATCAAACCCTTGCCCCGCGCCAGCAGAAGAGTTATTTTTTATCGAACGTTTTACTTCCGACGGCTCGGAAACCAGTTTCTTACGCCGTCGCGCGGAAAGTTATTACGTTTCATTACGTTTCGTCCGTTATCTTTGCTCTGCTCGTTTTGTTCGCGAAAGATGTCGATTCGGGGCGCACACGTGTACGCGTCTATTTTGTATCACTTCTAGTTCTCTGTAATCGTTTCGTACAGGTACCATGTACGTTACATCCACGGTATATTCGTAAATTAAATCGTAGGTTTGTAAATTCATTAGTCGTAAACATATTTTCGCGTAAATTCGTTTGTTAGATGGGCATGCTCCTCGAGAAATTGTCAAAAGTGAAAACCGCGTTGTTGAATCGCAGAAATAGCCGTCGTGTTTCTTGCTTTGCAGCGATTAGAATGCTTTTCGTCTCGTTCCCCAGCGGGAATGCGCCGAACGAATGAAAGCGCGGTTCGTATGCTCGGTCAAACGAAAGAATGTGAAATTTTAAGCCGGTCATGGTTGCGTCACGGCCAATTTCATAGACGACCAAGGCTCCGTTTTGTCGAGTAACAAATAGTGCTTGAATGGCTCTCGCAAGACTGCCATTGAGAACGTTCGCACTGTACCGTCGAATATCGTACCGTAGAGTACCGTATACTTCTTCTTACCACAGTCAGAGTCAATCCTCTTTCTCGTCAGACTTATACAGGGTGTCCGAAAACTCGGAGAGGAGCCGGAAATGGGGGGTAGCTGAGACGATTCCGAACAACAATTTCCTTTGCAAAAATGTCGGATGGGGCTTCGTTAAGGAGATATTAAGCGAAAACCCCGACCAATCAGAGCGCGCGTAGACCGTTGGAGCGGCCGCGGTAGCGAAGGCTACGCGCTAGGCGGCCGCGCCCAATGTCCTTCGATGCACGTCGAGTCACTTGTTCGCGTGCAAGCGCGGCCGCCAGCGCGTAGCCTTCGCTACCGCGGCCGCTCCAACGGTCTACGCGCGCTCTGATTGGTCGGGGTTTTCGCTTAATATCTCCTTAACGAAGCCCCATCCGACATTTTTGCAAAGGAAATTGTTGTTCGGAATCGTCTCAGCTACCCCCCATTTCCGACTCCTCCCCGAGTTTTGGGACACCCTGTATATTCTAATGAGTTCAGAATTCCGAAATGGATTTAAAAGTTTGTATCTTCGAAAACATACCAAGCGAAAAATATATTCGACCTTTTAATTTTAAACGCAAGTACGTGTGATTATAACTTATTGTGAAAGATAAAAAAAGTGTAACTTTTTTGAAATTTTAGAATGTGCGTCCTGAAGAGGCTTATACGTAGGCTGTTTCGTTTCAAGCGGAACGGTTAAATATCTCACGAGGAGATGCAGAGCTGTCAACAAAATGATTTCCATTATATTTATTAAAGAAAAAAAAAAAAATATACATGTCGAATTGAGTAACCTCGTTTTCGAAGTCGGTTAGTAAAATAATCTGATATGTATTGAAACAAAAAGGAATAATATTCATCGAATCTATTCTATTTCTATTGTATCGTCTGTCTTTTTCCTGGCTCTTGTAATGACAAAATTTCTTCCAACCGTTAGCTGGTACGTAGTTAAACTCGACTTTGAACGTTGGCTAAAACAAGCGTGCGTTAAAGTGTTAAGTGGAAAGAAATCTGCTGCGAAACGAGCCCGTACAGCGTGTAGCGAGCCCCAGCAGTCTGTATAAAACGAATCGGACACGCATGTCGCGAAGACTCCATACTATAGCTGGTGGACAGGTTTTTTTTTTTGCTAGCGAGATACTGTCTCTAACTTGCCATCAACGATTTAGTCGCACGCTTGAGGTTGACCTTGAGTCGTCACGGAGCTTTTTACAAGCTCGTTACAAGCTGAGGAGCTTTCGAGTCGTTTGTACTTGCAAGTTGTCACTTACTCACCCTGCGAGAATAATTGAAAATGCATCTGCTTCTTATCTTGTTACTTGATCATTGTGATTATTTTATAGTAGAAATCAAGTGGGATAAACGGATACTTGACTTTACCGTGATTAATTGTGATTAAATGTTATTATATATTTGTCTTAACGAATCGTAATCCATGTAGTTGACATGTTAATACATGTTTGTTTTCTTTCTGGTTTATCGTACATTTCCTTTTTCTTTTTATATTACGTTTTGCGTACTGTTTGATTTTTATTTTTATGAGTTCAAATAAGTTTGAATTGGCTTGATTCTGATCGACGAAAATGCAATCTCTGTAGTTCTTTGGTACATAGAAGTTTCGTATAAAATATCGATCAATTTTTGACCGTGTGGTTTATGTGCAATTTATTCAAATTAAATTATACTTTCTTATACAAAAAGAGGTCCAAAGCACAGGTCGAAACACACACCATTTTGAATAACAATCCATACATTATGGTTCAGTTACCGTTAATGAACTATTGGAGATGGGGTATAATGTGAGAATAAAATGCTAATTTTATCAATTAAAAGTTTCGATTTTATTTACATAAATAATAGTAAATATTCCAACATGAACATTTCAAAGGAATCAGAATCCTCGGTCGATCGTGATCGTTGAAGGTTGCGGCCATCTAAATCTATCTAAAGGGGTACCTGAACTTCACGTCGCTATTTTGACGGAATCGAAGCGGTGCTTGCGTTAGCGCTCCATTTAGCGGCGTGATCGATAATTAACTCCTTATCGTGGAAAATTATCGTGATGCCTCTGTAGTCGCGGTAGGCAGTCGTAAGCGAGATATGTAAACGCGAGGTTCATCGTGTTTGTCGCTTTAACAAAAGCCATGGAATTATAATAGTTGAATATAGTGCACGACGTGTCGTCGTTCCTGCAGTGATATCATTCGGTTCAGGGCTTCCGGTAAAATAAACGATGATTCAGTAATCGAGTATAATATTTCGCGAAACGGAGCGAAATACTCGCAATCTTTCGACGAATCGAAACGTCACGGTGCCTCTGAGATAACGTTTCGCGATGCCTGTTTGCAGGATGAACTATGTCAGCTCTGTGTGATGGACACGAAGTCTGAGGGAGCGGAGGATCGAATTGCAACGATTTTGGGAGATCAAGGAGAAGAGGGTGACGTTGAAGAGGACGCGGTAAGCGAAGACGAAGAGGACGACATGCCACCGACACCTGACACAGTGCCGATGACAAATTCGACGGTCATCGAGGAGGAATCTTGCGATCAAATCGACGGTCAACCCGAAAACGTCGAACAATCGAATAGCAATCTTGCTACCGACGAGCCAGTGAAACGTCGTAGAACGACTGAGGAGGTCGCATCTTTCAACACGTAAGGCTCTTCTTATCACGGTTTTATCACTTAGGCGTGCGCGTTAGGCGTCTGTTTGCGCGAGAGAATGCGAACTCGTAAAAGTCTAGTGCCGTGTTGTTCCTGACGAAAGAGGCGTATCTTTCTTTTCTGTGCGCTTTATAGGTATATCGACGTTCACAAACGCGCTGTAGCGACACTATAAGTGTTAAGTATAAGGTGTTAAGGACGTCTCTGAAAATAACAATTAAATTTTACATCAAAACAAGATGTTTAGGTTTTTCTCTACGTTGAGTTTCAAATTCTGATGAATTATAATATCTCGGTAACGATGTGGTTAATATTCGTCACTTTTTTTTTAAATGATTCGTAATTTCAGTTATTATAACATATCAAGCTTATAGCAACCTCGTAAATTGCAATTTGATTTAAATTGAAAAAATTCACTGCGAAGATCTGTATCTTCCATAAGAAGCTATGCTAAAATTACAAAATTTTAATATCGTTTTTCGTAAAACTTGGGTGGTGAATAATTTTCGTTTTATTTTAAACGTTCCATCATTTCGATGCTTACAACATGAAATAATAAAAATTGCATTTTAATTTCGTTAAAAAAAATTCATGTCGAAATCTGTATGTTCCAAAAGAAGCTATGCTAAGATTACAAAATTTTGATATAGTTTTTCATGAAACTGTGACAATCAATTTAAATCGAAATAGGCTGATACAATTAATATTTCAATAATCAAACAACAATCGAGTGAAGTTTTCTTAAGATCCTACATTAAATAAATCCATGGAGCATCTACTTTAAGATTCTAAAACTTCCAAAATTCAAGTATTCGTATACTTTTAATAACCAGTGTAATTTCGTCCTCTCTTAAAAAAATAAACAACGGCACAAACAACATTTGTGTCGCGTCTCCTTGGATTGCAACAGCGATGAACGAAACCCTAGGCTTCGAATAAATCTCAAGTTAGCAGATATGTTTATCTCGTTTCATCTTTCGAACATTTCCCAAAGAAAGAAACGAGACAAACGCATCGGCAAACTTCCGATTTAATCGAAGCCTAGGGTTTCGCTCATCTCTGGATTGCGCAGTACTTCCTCGTATCTCCTCCCGCGAAAAACGCTGGTCCATCCTGTCTCTAACCTGCTGTTTCCGCACCAGGTCCAACAGGAAGTCGAAGAATTGCGCGACCTTCTACTTCAGACACTTGGACACCGACTCCGAGCAGAACGAGGAGCCCGCGGTGGTCGCGGAGGACTCCTCGGAGGAAGAGTGGACCTACACGTCGTCGAACGTGAACAACGACGCGGAGCAACGTAAAACGAACGTCCTGGTGGGCTTGGACTTCGGCGAGACGCCGAGGAACGGGCACATCTGCGGGGAAACCGCGAAAACGACCGAGAAACCCGTGAAAAGCGTCGGAATGGAGTGCGTCGACGAGACATCAAACGAAACCGACGCGTCGTCTCATCGCGACAAGGACAGCGACGAGGAAACGAGAAATGACAAGATGAGCATCCAGAGGCTCATTAAGGAGGTAGAGAAATTGGTCGGGGAGGAAAGACGCGCTGGAGTGCCAAAGACGTTTCCTCAGCTCATTCTTGACGATAAGGGTATAACGAACAATCATCGCGCTAAGTACGCTCGAATAAAGGAGTGGTTGAAGCTGAACTCCGTGCGCGGACACGAAGGACGATCTACGTCACAGGTAAGTCGTAATTATTGCTATTGTTGCTGGCTGACCGTTGCCTTTCGTGGCGTTAGGATGTGGGATCCCTTCTTTTTTTTTTCTTTTTTTGCGTACTCGATGATGAATCATTTGATACGCTAATCGAACGTTCAAATCGATGAAAGTTATGACCCGTCTGCGAATGGAATTTAGTACCTTGGTTTAGCTTGAGATATTACGCAAGATCGAACGATTCATTCTCGTGTTTGATTTTTTAAGAATAGTACAGCGTGTGTAGAAGATTTTCAAAGCGGTAAAAAGAAACAATGTTTCTCGTTGACGCGTTGAGCGCCCACGTCACTCGTAGATAGGTGACAGAACTTTCCACTAAGGAATTAAATAAATTAATTCCGAAGATGAGATGTCGAAGAAAGTAAATCTGCATGGAATGCGTGAATCTGAGAAAATTTCAGAAATGTAGAATATAAACAATCGATTCGTGAATTGACGATAAGTCGTGGGAACTTCTTAGTTAGTCGTCTTTAACGTGTTCACTACATGAATCATTTCAGGCATGTACATAGATACTTTGTTAGATAAAAATTACAAAATATATTCAGAATTGAGAAGTCAAGCTGAACGGATTAAACGGAAATACACGTTAAATTACGTACAACTTGAAGATGTTCCTTTCAGAATCTCTCTACGATATGAAAAACAGAAATATTCACAAGTTCTAACGCAAATAGCTCGAAAAATTTGCATGAAACTTCGAAATCGTAAGCGTTCTAATGATTTACGAGTCTGATGTTACGGAGTCAATGTGCCAGTCAAACGATCAAAAAATGACATTCAGCGTGTTTTGATGGCGCTTACGGTTCCGCGAGTTCCCTGCGCGGTCACGCGAGCCGGCTCTAACGAGGGCTAAGGGGAATTACAACGTTTCGTAACAATTGTAATCAGCGTGAATTACAGCCGTTGGATAGCTGCGATGCCAGCGGCGAGTACACGACCGAGGAGTCCGACGGTGAGAGACAGTCGGTCTCGTCTGAGGATCTGCAGAGCAGCGTCGCGACTTACCGTCGTTTCGAAGGTGCTCTGCTCGGTTGCGCGTCCCAGTCTATGTCGCAAGAGATATTCGACGACGTCGACAGGACGCCGATCAACGAGTCGCATCCGATGCTGGACGCGAGCACGCCGAAAGTCGTGATGCGCTCCAAGCAGAAAACGAACGGGCCCAGACCGTGGAGCGTTTCTTGTATCTCGCAGATCGGTAACAACTCCAGTTTGAATCAAACCAACGACCCGATTTCGCAGTTCTCCATCTCCGAGACGGCGCTCCATCAGCTAATTGCTACACCGCCGACCAAGTCCGTGTCCCTCGATGCCACGTGAGTACTTGTACATGTTCGCGAGGTCTGCCTCGATTTTCTCTTTTCGCGCGCCGGGCTGCTTGGGAATTCACGGTGTTCGCGGACTTTTAGGACGTGCTGATCTGGGACGTTCATTTCTAACTATCAGGTCGTCCCGAAAGTTTCTTTCGTTTTATTAATAAGTAATATATTGAATTGTGTACGATTCATTTTGCTCCATTACTGTAACAACATCAACAAACATCAACGTCTACAAAATTAGATTGTCCATTTATATGAACACTACCGCACAAAAGTAATTGAGTGGAAATTACGAAAGAAACCTTTGGGACAACCTAATGTTTCTATAGTAACGGGACAAATGAAAACCAAGAGGGAAAAACTCACTATGTCCAATTTTTACCGAAATTGAAACATGCATGTCACCTTATTTTTTCATAAAGAACTCGTGGCTGCTAGTACAGACAAATTTGAAAACAGTCATTTGTCCAGTCGTGGTAGGTTTAGTGGTAAGACGGTATTGTTTGGTACAGTACAACAGATTTTAGATAGGTTTGGGGGCCAATAGCAAGTTGTTAGATGTAATTAAAATCTGATTACACGTGGTGATGATATTGAACTCGAAATTAAATTAGAACAGGGGCACCAAATTTCAAGTATGCAGAGTTGGAAAGGAGTTATTACGAAAGAAACCATCTTTTAATGTGTTTGGAATTTAAAAGGAATTATTGAATTTTAAATTTGTACAGTTATAGATAATTTATCGCTTGTAATTTTTACATAAGAAAGAACTTTTCCTCACGTCACATCATTTACAAATCATAAAATGAAAAAGAAAAGAAAATTTAACCAATATACTCTGAACAGGGAGGACAAGGAAGGAGATTATTAAATGTACAATGTATAGAATTAGAGTAAAATTATAATACATGAAATTCGTAGGATTAATAACGATTTATTAAATTAGAGTCGCACAGAATTCAGAAGAATGTATCGCGTTAAATATCGTAAACTTGGGCTTTGGTACTTCGACTGGAACGTTGCGATTTCCCTTGTTCTGTATTGTAGAGGATCACGCAAATCATTCAACAATTCGACGTCCACGTTGATGGAGGAGTCGATCATCTGTCACGATGGCCGCGTGGTTCGGAACAGCTCGTTGCGTAGGAAGAAGAGCAGGCTGCGTAAAAAGACTCTGGTAAGTCGGCGTTAACACCTATGCAAGAAGATATCATTAGGAATAAAAATACAAGAGATCTTGCAAGCAGTATTTTACATCCATCGAGTTCCACGGAAACACGTTCATGTAATTTTAACTTATTAAATAATTCGTTTACATTTGAGGATGCCTGCATGAAGTCGAACAATTAAACAGGCTTATCCTTTGTAATGTTTCAAATATTAACAGAGGAGCATCGCCTTGAAATCGCTCCAAGTGCAAAGAATTGTACAAAAATAAATATACACGTAACGCGCGTAACAGAATCGCTTAAATTGAAACATGTATAATTTCTCGGTCTGAATCTTGTAAATTCAGGGCCGCAAAAGCGAATCGAGCTCGGAGGGTGTAAACGCGAATCATTCAGCCGGAAGCGACGGTAGCTCGACGAATCAGCAACGTTCGACCCGGAAGATGAGCGGAAGCCGAACGATACGCACGATCTCGAGGGATTGCCACGGACGTTTGACGACGCTGGTGAAATCAGGCTCGTTCTCGGGGTGCACGGATCACCAACAACTCTCCTCGGAGAGAACCATAGTCAGCGATCCGACACCGCCGTTCAGATTACCCTGCTGCACTTCGGTGGCTTCGGCGTCCGAAACCGAGGGCGAGGAGCAACGTAATTGCACGCGCGGCCGATTCGTCTACGAGGAAAGCCTGCTGGACAACGTTCTGAACACCAAAGAGCTGTCCAATCAACAGCTGAACGTCGACAGCGACGTGGAGATGAACAGTCTCGGGAACAACTCGTTCTCCGAGCAAGCCTGGGATAATTATCAGGTAACGACGTTTACCCTTTGACATCTACCCGTTAGATGTTGGATAAACCGAGATCTATCGGACGATGCCCGACATTTTTCATCCATTTCTGCTTTGGTTACTTTCTCTGCTATACTCGGTGGTCTTCAGAGCTTTCGAAAGGCGTTCCATTGGAAGGGAAGACGAGTTTTTAGATTTGAATTAGTGGCAGGTTCAAAATTATACACGAGCGTGAAGAATTTTTTAAACGATATCTCAGGATTTCAGTTTTTGACAAAACAAATGGTATGGAATATGCAATGCCTATGGCTACTTCGGCAGATTTATTTTGTTATAGAAAAGAAAAACAAACTTTGAAGGGCTTCTAGAGAAAAAAATATGTTTAATTCTGAATTTGGTGAACTTCGATGACCGATGTATTAGGTTGTTGTAAATGAATTAGTTAATGATATTATCGTTACAAATTAAACTTCGTTAAAGTTAATAGTATCCTTCCACCTTAATCACTTCGTCATACATCTTGCGAACTGCTTGATTTAATATCGTCGTTATTTATGTACGTACTTATTAGTATTTATTGATCTGTTTCCCCCAGGAAAAATATATGAGCGAGCCCTACAGCGAAGCGCCAGACGTGGAAACAGCTCGAAGACTATTGGACTTTGGTGACGATTACAGAAACTTCCTCGATAGTCAATCTGATTGTGCATCCAGTATGAGCGCGGTCCCTACTAGTTCTCCGCTGCCTAGAAGTCGTATGCATCATGTACGTTCCATTCTTTTCTTCTTTTTCGATAGAGTGTCCATATTTTTTCTGTAGTACACCCCCAATATATATTTTTACGCTCGGTTCCTTTTTATTCTGTGCATACCACGAATCGTTATATAGCATAATACATTAATCTAATCTCATTGTATATTTTCAATGACTTTTTAAAAATATCTCTAAAATGTTTCATATTACTACATTAGTAATAAAGTAAGAGTTTATATCGTGTTCCATACCGCAAGTGTTCGTGTAAATTTTGTTGTAACGTTATAATATTTCGTTATACATAATATAATTGTTTCGTATTTAACGGAGGTTCCTTTTTTGTTAAATACCTAGTATACCGAAGGTGATGTATTATAGTAGCGTTAACTTTAGTATATTGTTTGTGCTACAATGTTTCAGTTATAAGAAAATAAACGTACGTTGCTGTGGGCAAAATGTAATTCCTCTGCAGCAAATAAAAGCTTGCAGCAAATAATAGATTCATTTTTATATGGTTGGAACGAAAATCCTTGCAAAAATAAATTTAACAAAAATTTAATACAAATTTTACATGCCGAAAGTATCCTCTAATGGCATCGAATTATTTTTAATCACACAGTCCAGTAAATGAAATGTAAATATCTGTAAAGACTTTCTTTTCAACCTTATACCTCGCAACCTCACACCTTGTACCAAAGATACTCACGCATAGCTTCTATCAAAAATATTTCTGCCCAGTAGAAATCATTACAAAGTATTGATAAATTGCTCTTGTTCATTTGACTTTCTTAAATTGCAATTATAACTTAATTCGTAATAATTACTTAATAATAATTCTTGAACTGAAATTTCATATCAGGTAATTACGCTTTCCATAGTTTCATTTTGATATCTCTCGCATAATATACTCCTTGGTCGAATCTCTTCGTCTCTTATCAAGAGTTCTCTGAGATGAATGCGTCTCTGCAATGATGATATCTTAACGAGGGTAAACGAGGGTAATTACGGCCATAGTCGCTACAAGAGTTCCTTCGCAGTCGAGTGGACAAAGTATGATTTCACGGCAGACCTAAATCACAAATCGCCATGAATTTTCGTATTACACGCAAGTTCAATGTATTGGCATTGTTTGTACAAGTGTTTATGCAATGACAATGTTTTTTAAGTGTACTCCGCATTTAGATTCGTGGATAAGAGTCGTGTATTGTAAATATATTTTAACTTACAAAATGTAATACACTTGAGCCACTATTTAATGAAAACGAATTTAAATTGAAATCGAATTTTTTCTGAACTGTTTTCGCAACACGAGAAAAATTATTAAATATATTTCTGCAAACACGATCACTTCAACAGTAACGTTAATAAATTAATTAAAATTATTTTACTTCCACAAGACGTAAAAAGAGGCATAGTAGGTAAAACACGTAGTAAGTCTGTGTACAATGCGATCAATTCGTTATCCTGATCTTAACAATGTCTAGGTAGCTATGATATCCAGACTCGAGAACTTTCATTCTGTATAATAATGACGCGTTTTGAGCACCGCTGGCACGAGCACAACGAAAGCATCATTAGGTTCTCTGCTTGACTTCAATATCTTTTGATCAGTGGTACACAACCGCTGTGGTGAAAACGGTCAACGAGATTCGACAGAGTATCCCAACTGATTTAAATACAAGTCCTCCGAGAGAAATTATAAATCTGCATCGTAACTTCGGTAACGAACTCTGAATCAATATAAACGTTCAAGTGAATGACGAGACCAAAAATTAACGAACCATTTTATCTGAATGCACAAATAACGTATAAATTCCTTTAAGCCATCCGTGAAGAATACTTTCGACGAATCATGCATTTGTAGTCACGAGTTATCCGTAACGCTTATAAGTACCTAATTTAAACGGATGACAGTCAATCTAGCAAGTAAAGTATCGAAGTATTGAATGAACTTTATATTGACTATGCGCTTTGTATATGTTTCAGGAAATCATCGACACTACGGAGGACAGCGACAGCGACGTGGAGGATGTGCGAAACGTCGTTGAAAAGTCTCAGTCCCAGCTGGCGCTCGCTGAAAATCTGTTTTTGAGATCGAAAGGCGGAGCAATTCCTGAGGATTGCGTACGTATATCCACAGTAGGGATTCTGTTTATGCGCTTACTGGCAAAAAAGCTATTCGGTTTGTTTCACGGTTTGCTGAGGAACATTACCGAGGTTGCTTTCTGTTTGTATCGCTCAACTGTGTTCACCTCAACCAAGGTTGTGCTCGTGTGTGAACGCATGAAATCCTTTTTTCTAAGCTTGACATCACCCGTTGCACCTGACTATGGAAAGTACGATTAAGCTTGCTTCCTCTTTTGCTTTCTCCGCTTCGAATGCTAGCTTTAAGGTAGTTTTAACGTCTTCGACAGTTGTAACGAGCGAGCGATCGCTAATCAAGATTTAACATTTTTTACTACCGTCTTAGAAAGTTTATACTTTGGAAAAGGACTTTCTACGTTAATATATATTAATACAGGTTAACGTTAATTCGTGTAAAAGCTTTACTTGATTCTCCAAATTAAGCATTTTAAGTGAACAACCAACGACAAAGATTCCAGGTGGTAAATAGGGGAATTAGAAACCCTGTAAGTTTCTCTTTACAACGACGACATTGTATATTGAAACTATACATTTGCTTCTTTTAGACCGTCACCATTTTATTAAGTGACGATGCTGATGTTAAGTTCTGCTATTATTTGTAACGTAACTAATTTAGGCGTAGTTTATATATAATAAATAAAATTGATTATATTAAACCGTTATATTTACTGTATTAGTCCATTCGTCGCTATGCCCTGACATGAATTATCATCATTCGATACAGTGACACACTGATTATTAGATTAAATTGTGTCAACACATTTTCATAGTTGTAAATACTCTGAAACAAAACTATATGTATATCGTATTTCACTCAATGTGAAATCATTACACCGTGAGGTGGTAGTAAGTTCGACAAAGACTACGCAACGACGTTTGCTTGCATGTTTACTGCCGCTTTGTCCTTATCCTGCTATTGTAGAGTGTATCAACAAATCACAGAGATAAACACTGACTAGCGTCAGTGTTTACATCTCTGCCTCGCTCTGTGGACAGTTTCGTGTTGGCTTCGCACGAAGGTACGTTCGCTCAAGCACAGTTTCTATAAGTAAAAATGTAAGTTACAACGATAGTTCTCCAGGCTTTTAGTGATTTAACCTAACGCTTAACTCTAATTTCCTGTTTTCATACAATAATAAAATAAAAATTGAATAGTTCTTGTTGAATAGTACATAGAAATATGGTTAAGGGCTTTTGCTGTAGTATTTTATGCTCGCTGAAAGTAGTCCCGTAGCTTGTATTGTTTTCCTGTAATGATTTGCCTCTTTCTTGTTGTAGACGGAAGTGGAGTGTGCGTGTAGAGAGAATCTGAGGTGTCTTCACACGCTATTGGAGTCCGTGAGCAATTCATTCCGAAGCGAAAAATATGTGAAACAAGTTCGTGGTGAGTACAATAATCACATTCAACGTCGATCACTTTCTATATCGCTGTCGTACATGACCGCTGTTTTGGTTACTGCTCTGAGCGGACTCGTCTTTTTGCTTCTGTCGTAATTTCTCGCACCTGACCTTTCTCGACTTCGTATTGAATTATCCTACGAAGGGAGGTAACCGGAAGTGGAAAAGCGTTCCCTTTTCTGATCGAGCGACCTGTCGATTGTTTTCCCAATGCCTTACGTTAACAAATTTACGATGCTTTCAGCTAAATACTAAAAGAACATTGTTTTGAGCGTTATTTGCGCACTAATACGAACGTCGTTTGGTTTTTCCTTTAAACGGCGAAATGACGTTGCCATATATAATCGCGTATCGAGAACGTACATTAATATTTTATTGAAAGTGGCATCAGTTTTACGAAACTAGGCTACGAAATCTTGATCAACAATCAACTTATATACATATAACTGGAAGTGATTTAGAAAATGTTAACTAAATCGTATTTCCCGTTAGTTTATACAGATTACGATAACCTTAAGGAACGATAACTAACTGGAATCCTATTCGTTTAATATCTAGATCTCTAAGCCCGATAAAGTTAAACGATGTTTCGAACGTCTAACTGAACATTTTTGTAAGTTACTTATAAAGACTGACATGCAAGTATTAGCACATGAAGTATGCATTTTCGCTTCCAATGTACTTCGTAAGACGTATTATTGGTAAATATATGCATTTGGAATCGTATCCAATGTATTATGAATTTTCTAAGAATTTTTAGAATATTAATTATAAGTGTTGATCGATTTAAATTTGGTACAATTGAAATCCGGATTTTCATGTCACTTTTTCAGTTCGAAAAACCACACATGAAATGTTAAAATATATAAATTGCAATGCATATATTTAAATATTACAAATTCGAAGTTAGTTTAACGTCACTTACGCACAAGATCGATGTGTATTATACAATATCTCTTAAATTTAAATTATATATACATGTAAGTGCATGCGTAAATTTGCTTGAATCATGAATTGATTATCTGCATGCTCGATACTGAATTATTTTGCACACCGATCTATACCTCGGTTGAGCATTATGTTTCCGATTAGTAATTTAAATTTCAATACAATATTAAATGCGACGTAACATCTTTTATTTTTTAATTAATAGAAAGACGCAATGAAATCTTTAACGCGCAATGTTAAATTATTTATCCGAATAAACTAATAACAGTTTAAACAATAAATTACCGTTTCCAATGGAAATTTCGCGTCGATATTATTAGAATGCATGAATTACCTTTGTTCTAGTTTTATTGTTATTGAATTAGCGCAAAGGAAAAGATAGACGTTGCGGTAGGAAACGCGAGTTGGATCTGGTTTGTACGAGTTTGATACTTAATTTTTTTCATCATTACACATTTATACGGAATTTTTATCGATGCTTTTGTTGTCATCCTTATTTTGGTGCAACGCGATTGCGACAAAGCTTTAGAGTATTTTCATTTTTAGTTTACCTGTGTACACGTTAATTGTAATTATTATTCAATAAATATTGCTGTGTTGTGGCTTTTTACTAATTATTCTCTTGTTTCTTTTTTCACCTGTAGAGAATATTAATTTATTCGCCGGTTGATATAAAATTATTTGAATACGTGAAACTTTATTATATTTTTTAGGAAATGTACAAGATAAATACATTAAATTTAGTCATATAATTCTTCTCATAAAACAGATTTAAAAATGTGTAATAATCTTTCTTATCGTGAATGTAATTATAAACGACAATCATCGTGATCATTTATAAACGATATCGAATAAAATCATTGAGAAAATTGGCCTTATTTCTCTTGACTACGTTTAATTCGTTGAATTACGTTAAATTAATTGCCTCGTGATAAAACAAATACAAGATGCTTCAAAATTATTCCTCCATATCAAATATAGATGCTCTTTTTTTTTACTGTATTTTTCTGCTTGCGGCATGAAATTATTTTACAGCTTTTTGCCAATGGAATCTACTTCTATAATTTCTACATCAAGCACGCACGGAGCATAAGCACGAAAAATTAACTGATTCCGAGACTATTTCAATGGATTATTTTTATTCGATTAACTATGCACGCTCAATTGCAACGTAGAATTCAAATAGATTTCACTATCGTTTAACGTAGTTAAATGTAACGAGGAAATTACTTAATTCATCTGAGCATTATTCCAATAGAGTATATGTCTATACATTTATTATCTAATTAATATTTAACGCACTACATGTTCCATCGATGCTGTTATATAAATTGGTAGAAATTTTAGAGTATCGGTACGTTGAAGTATTGCATCGTTAGAGTAAAGTTAGAATAACCTTGTACCTACTAAACCGTTTAGGATAGTAAACAAGGAAAAGGAAAGCTTGCTTAAACCAATACACACCACTATACTGTAAGCAGATTTTAATAGTTGGGGGAGGAATATGTAGGGCAGCCGTTAGAACAACCTCTCCGAAATAAAAATTGATTCGACAGTGATCCAATTATTTAGAAGGAAGATAGATGAAGATCGTCGTTAATAAATTGACTACAAGACAAATACTTTTAACACTCCGCCATCATAATTCTTCTAATACCTCAATGAGAACCCCTGTCGTACATATCTGACATAACACCGAACCTGTTAAAAACGAAAAAGCGCTATCCCGTTTCGCGTTATTCTACTCCCCGGTCGAGCATTTTTTTTCCTGTTTCAAACATCCATTGAAAGTGTGCCGACCGCGCGCGGAACGCCTCCGTGGACTTCTTCGAAGTCAACGAACCGCTATCACGGCAGGAATCAGGCTCGAAGGAGAAATATACAAACAGTCCGTACTCGGTTTCTATGAAGGCATCGATCGTGATCGGTAATCCGGACGTTGCTCGAGCGCGTGCCGTGTGGGTGCACGCACGTGGGTGGACGCTGCTCGCGCGAGGGCATCGGTGCACCTTCGCGAGGCTCACCTTATAAGAAGCATATACGACGGAGACGCACGAGTCTCTGCTCGGCCGTTCTCGTCTCCGTCGTCTGTGATTTGCGGGAGAATCCGCGACGTATGCCGCGTGCTCTCGCTCGGTAGCCAGTCTCCCTCGCGACGTGAAACGTCGTCGACGTCTCTATGCACAGAATTTCCTCGAGAGTGTGTTGTTCTGTGACTAAACTGTCCTCTGGCAGTGGTGCAAGTTGAATTATTTAGTGATTCGAGTATTGGTATGATAGCGATGCTAGTAGAATTGTTCATTTTAGTGTATGTATGAAAGGGATTCAAGTGTGTTGTAGTATTAGTGATTCAGGGGTAGGATTTGGGGTCCAAATTGAATTTATTAGTGATTCGAGTATTGGTATGATGGCGATGCTAGTAGAATTGTTCATTTCGATGTATGTATGAAAGGGATTCAAGTGTATTGTAGTATTAGTGATTCAGGGGTAGGATTTGGGGCCCAAATTGAATTTATTAGTGACTTTATTGTAGGTCCGATAGTGGTCCAAATATACGTGTAATTAATGATTTCGATACAGGTGGTTTAAATACAAAGGTTTAAATACAGGTTTAAATACAAATAGAATTATATAGAAACACAATTTCAATATAGGTCTGGTAGTGGTCCAAATATACATGTAACTGATAATTCCAATATAACTGTGCAGTGCCTAAATATACATGTAATTAGTGACTTCAATATAGGTATGATAGAGGTTCAAATGCAAATAGAATTATATAGAAACACAGTTTCAATATAGGTCTGGTAGTGGTCCAAATATACATGTAATTATATTTGAATTATAAACAGGTGGTTTAGGCGGATCGAGCGCAATCCTCTGTCCCTTCAGTCTCCTCTAGTTTGTCGGACTCTCGCCAACTCCTGAGCAAAGGTTGATACCTCTTCTAATAGTTCTGTACCTAAAGCTAGTCCTATATCGGTATAAAGGAGCAACCTTTACCATCCTGTCCAACTCTCCGAATAAATTGAGTTAAATCCTCCGTATTCGTTTAGGTCCCAGCAATCATCCCTCCTCGAACTCTTTTCTCGTTATCTCTACATTTCTATTGATTTGAATCTATCTAGTTCGATCGATTTCGCAGAGTAGACCAGGCACAAGTGCACAAGTTGAACCGAAGCCAACTGTGCTACCTTTAACGAAGCCAGACTTTGCATCGCGTAGTTGGTCAGGTTCAACATGGAAGATCCGTGCTAAAAGTAATTCGAAGTTTCCGTGGGTCGGTTGGACAGTGTTTATCTGAGAGTTGTGTTTGGGTTCTTGGCTCTTCGACGCAAGTCGAGCCGATTGAATCGATTTTTGGGCGAGTTAATGAGACAATACACTAGTGTCGTTGGTACAGTGGATTTTTCAATGTGCAATTAGGTCAAGAAACCGAGGAACTATTAACACGACACGACAGAGTGATCGTGGTTCGCGATGATGTTTGGAAAATCGGACAGCACTGTTGGGAAAGACGCACCGGATACCTGTTACGCGTACCAGGAGATTATCGTGAAGGATCTGCCGGATGATGCCTGTACGTACACTTCCGTATGTGTTGAACCCTCCACCCGTGAATCCTTCTCAATGTTACTGGTTACACAATGGTGTAAACCACTACACTTTGGTCGGTCTAGGATAGATCACGCGAATTTAACATTTAACGAATTTTACGTTTATCGTGAAACGTGATTTGCTGCTGACACATTCTGGGGATCTTTTTGCCGGGAGTCTATAACACCTATTACTGGGAGTATTTTTAAATATATATTTGTGTGCACGTTAACTGAGAATATTTATAATATTTTGTAGCGAAGAAAAGTTAAAATTGACGGTACAATAAGGCTTTGTACGTAACTGCTTTTAAGAGGGTCATATTATGCGACGGTCAGTTGTTTTCACTTTTTTGGGGATTTTCTTCTTCTGTTCAATAACAGGAAAGGAAATGTTAAATATGTGTAAAAATTGTAAATATGTGTAATTTAAAACAGGACA